AGGAAGGAAGGAAGGGAGGGAGGGAGGGAGGGAGGGAGGGAGGGAAAGAGAGAGAGAAAGAGAGAAAAAAGAAGAAAACTAACAATAGCACACTACCATATGATCCATCTTTCCCACTCCTGAGTATACCCGAAAAGGAAATGAAGTCAGCATACTAAAGTGATACCTGCATGCCCATGTTTATTGCTGAAGCACTATTCGCAGTAGCCACGATATTGAATCAACTAATGCATGAATGAATAAAGTAAATACGGGGTATGTGTGTGTGTATTTGTGTGTGTGTGTGTGTATAATGGAAAATTATTCAATGATAAAGAAGAATGAAATTATATCATTGTTTGATTGCTGGATGGAACTGGGGATCATCATGTTAAAAAAAAATAATAATAAGCCAGGCACGAAAAGACAAGTGTCACCTGTTTTCTCTTATATGTGGAAACTTAAAAAACAAAACAAAACAAAAACCTGAAAGTAGAAGAAAGTCTATTAAGGAAGGAAAAGAGGAAGGGGGTGTGGGACAAAGGAGGGTAATAGAGAGGTTAAATATGATCAAGGCATGATATATGCATATGTAGAAATGTCACTGTCAACCCCATTAATTTGTACAATTAAAATATGTAAATAATTATAAAACAGAATAAAAAATAAATAAAATAGGCTACCTTAAGTGGATAGTTTTACCTTGTCCTGGCCTTTAAGCCATTCAATCAGGTAACTTGGAGACAGGGAAGAATGCCTTCCTCCCCAGTTATTATATAAAATACAAGTATAAAGCGGGGTGTGGTGGCACATGCCTACAATTCCTGCTAATCAAGAGGCTGAGACAGAAGGATCACAAATTTGAGGGCAGCCATTGCAATTTAGCAAGACACTATCTCAAAACAAGATATAAAGAGCTGGGAATATAGCTTAGTACCTGCCTAGCATGTGCAAAGTCCTGGGTTCAATCCCCAGTACCACACATAAAAAAACTATATATATATATATATCTCCAGTGATTATCAAATGATTCTTAGTTGTAATATTGCATTTATATAGTATATACTATTTAGACTAAAATGCTTAAATATAATTACATTCCTTCTTGTTACTTGCTAATTGTATTTATTTTCAGTCACTATTCAGGAAGCCTGGTTTCCCAGCCCGAATCCCTGCTGGTGCTCAGAGACTGAGACCCTGATTGTTCGCATCTCACTCTAATCATCTAACTGCTCTATAACCTCATTTAAAACTACTTGGAGAAAAGATCCTGCCCTAATTTCTTGCCTTTTTCATCCCTGCTTTTTCTTTCTTCCTCAGGTAGAAAAAGAAAAATTTACATGTCAATTAAAGTACAGAGTGTATGCAAAAAATTCCAAACCTCTTTTCAGATAGAAATTTACCTTACAGCTCATTTCTAAAAGCTCCAAACTGTCTCTCTGGGTATCTACCTGCTAGTTATTTATTCACTCAGCTGTATATGCAGTCCCTTAGCAACCCTAAACTTCATGGATACCATCGTAACTCCTGTCTGCTGCCTCCTGAGTGTAGGTAGTCAGCCTTCTTTGCAAGAAGTGCCAGAATTTAGTTCTCTTTGAAAATAAATTTGAATAAGCCATAAGTTTTCACAGGGCAGTGAAGTGGTTTCTTCCCAGCAGGAGCCTTCACTCTGGGGCTGCATTGAAGATTATGCTGGAGAGGAAGCAGCTTGGATCTTGGAGATCTTTGACTGCAGTGCAAAGGATCATAGTTTTAAGTATCTTTCTTCCTAATTCCATCTAGGATTGTGAAGATGTCCAGTCCCAATCTGAACATTGTGACCTTACTGGGCAGTTGTCTGACTTACAGTAGTGCTTATCTCTTTGGGATTCAAGATGTTTTTGCAGGGAGTTCAATGGAAACTCTCATTCAGGTAGGTGACATTTTGAAATTTTGTTTTGAATATAATGCTAAAGCTTGGATAAATTTTTCCATCAGCTGCTCCTGAGAGTAGCAGTTCCTCATATCCCTGGCATGGGCACTTTCACAGGTGATCCCTGACACACTCAGCCACTTAGGTCCATCTTCTATTTGATGCCCTCTATGGACCTGAAGCTTTGCAGATCAGAATGCATGGAGACCAATGAAGATTCCTGTCCTGACTCTTGCTTCTGTCCCCTTCCACCTATAGATAAGACTGTCTCTGCTGTGCATTGGGACCTCCCTTGTGTTTGGCCCTGTTCTGGGGAAGAGCTGGCGACTCTACAAGGTGTTTACCCAGAGAGTACCAGACAAGAGAGTGGTGAGTTGACAGCAAATACACAACACTGGATTGCAGGCAGCAGCTCCACATGGATTAAAAGCTAGAGAAACATGTGTGGGTCAGTGGACCTCGCTCCTCTTAGGATGATTTGAAGTTCTTGTTCCTCACTTAAAATCTTTGAGTCAGGTGGTTTCAAAAAGCTCCAGGTCTGGAAGGCTGTGAGCTAATGCTATTGGAAGATAGGTCTTTAAACACAGGCTCTGCTTCATGCACACCCATTCCAGGCCCTATGGAGGTTCCAGGCACAGGTGTGAGGGAGAACAAGATGCCCAGAGAGACTATTTCTTGGCACAGGTGTGAGTTAGAAGTGGAGGGAAGATATGATTACAGAGAAGCTATAGCAAATGAGCAGAACTATTGCTCTCCCTGGATCCCAGTTCTTTTCAATGAAGAAGGCAGTTCTTTGTACTGAGAAAGATGTGACTAGAGCTGTGAGCAAACAAGACGATACCCATGCAGCCGATAGAAGCAACCCCAGAACTATGTTAAAGTAGATCACCTATGTGTCCCTGGTGTCCAGCATCAATCTAACCAACATTCCTCCATTTTCCCCTAAGCATCAGACCTCAAAGCCTGACCATCAGCCTCTTTGGCTAAAGGCTCTTTCCAGACTTAATATATAATTCAGCTGGAGTCTACTTCTCTGGAATGAGATTTTTTTTTTCAAACATTATCAAATCATGATGAATATTTATCAAAAGCTCAGCTGTGAGTAACCACACAGATGAAGAAGATTGCCCAAAAGGACAGAAAATGCGTCTATCCCTCCAGAACACTGACTCCTTTTTCAAAAATAGGTTTTGGTTTTTTGTGGTTTTTTTTTTTTTGAGGCAAGAAAAATTATGATTTGCAAAGATTTTCTCATACTTTGTGCCCTTTATTTTATTTGTCATTCAAACAGAAGACATTGCTAATTTTGATGAATTCCAATTTACTTATTTGTTCTTTATGGATCAGTTTTCAGTATCATATTAAGAAATGTTTGCCTAACTTAAAAGACTAAAAGATTATTTTTCCTGTGTTTACTTCTAGAAATTATAGCGTTTTAGTTTTTACATCTAGAACTATGATCCATTTTGAGTAAATTTTGTAATATGGTGTGATATATTAATCAAAGTTCACCTTTTTGCACACGAATATACTATTGTTCTTATACAATTTGTTGAAAAGGCTGTTTTTCTTCACTGATTTACCTTTGCATTTCTCTCAAAAATCAGTTGCTCAGAGATGTATCGATCTGTTACTAGACTCTTTTGTCTCTTTGTTGTATGTGGGTTTTTTTTTTCTTTTTTATCTTGACAACAGTACCAAACTACCTTTATTTCTGTGGCTTCCTATTAAATCTTAAAAGCAGGGAATGTTTACTCTCCAACTGTGTTCTTCTCTTTCAATGTTGTTTTTGTTACTTTAGGTTCTTTGAATTTCGTATGAATTTTTTAATCAGTTTTTCAACCCCTACAAAAATCCTACTGGATTCTTGATTTATGTTGAATCTATAGATCAAATTGTAGAGAATTGATTGCTTAACAAATTTGGGTCTTCTGACCCATGAATGCAGTATATTTCTACATTTATTTAGGCTTTCTTTCATTTCAACTCTGCAATTTTTTTTGTACTTTTCAAAATAAATCTTTCATATATTTTAACATATTTATTCCTAAGTATTCATATTCGTATGCTATTATACATGTTGTTTTTTAAATTTTACTTTCAGACTGTTTATTTTTATTTTTATTTTTTTGTAGTTGTAGATAGACAAAATGCCTTTATTTTATTTGTTCGTTTTTATGTGGTGCTGAGGATCAAACCCAGTTCCTCACACACGCTAGGCAAGTGCTCTGCCCCAGCCCTCAGATTGGATTTTGCTATAAAGTATAGCATACAAATAGAATATATTTTGCTGCAACTTCACTAAACTACATATTATTTGTAGCAGCTTTTTTATGGGTTCCATCAGATTTTCTACATAGATGATTAAATTATCTGTGAATAAACATCTCTTCTCTGCTGGCATTGGATAGAAACAACAGTACATTCTTGAACAGAGGTGGTGAGGGCAGATATTCTTGAGTTATTCTTATGGGGAAAGCATTCAGCTTTTCAAAACTAAGCATGAATGTTTCATTGTAGACACTGTTTATCCAGTTGAAAAATTCTTTTCTATTCTTATTTTTCTGAGAATTTTTACCAAGAATTAATGTTGGGTTTTGTCATATGGTCTTTCTTTTTTAGATTGTTCAGATGGTAGGTTATACTAAATGATTTGAGATGTTAAATCAACCTTACATTCCTGGGAAACTCCAATTGGTCGTGATGTATTATCCTCTTTTTTTTTTTTTTTTTAGAAATTGAGAAAACAATTTATTTTTTTCTAATATGTATTATCCTTTTTGTTTATTTGTATTCATTTTTGTAAAAATATTGTTTATAGTTTGTATACTTGTGCTTTTAGTGGATATTGCCCATCAGTTTGTTTTCTTATAGTATCATTTTCTAGCTTTGATATCAAGGAAATGCTGACCTTATAGAATGAGTTGGGAACTGTTTCCTCCTCTTTGGCTTCTGTAAGAGTTTGTACATATGCATGTAATTTGCACTCTTGTGTTGTGTAGGCACCTTACAACAGTATGCATCCACTCCCCATCCTCAACTTTGTGTCGTTGTTTTTACTTTAATATATGTTATAAGGCCCATACAATTGTTGTTACTTTTGCTTATACAATCAATTATCTTTTGAGGTATATAAATTATAAATATGAATCATATATTTTTCCACATAGTTATCATTTCCAGTGGTCTTAATTTCCTGTATAGATCCACCATCTGGAATCATTTTCATTTTTCATTCCTTTTAGTGTGTGTGTACTAGTTTTGAATTCTTTCAGTTTTTGTATATCTAAAGAAGTCTTTATTTTGCCTTTTTTCTGAAACATACATAAATGCATATATATATATATATATACACACACACTTATACTTTTTCCCCAGTTCTGGGAGTTGGACCCAGGGCCTTGTGCATGCTAGGCAAGTTCTCCCCCATTGAGCTACATCCCCAGTTCCTGCAAAATGTATTTCTGGGTACAGATTCTAGACCAGGGTTTTCTTTTTCTCTTTCATCTTGAAGATGCCCTTCCACTATATGCTCACTTGGCTTTATATATCTAATGTGGAGTCTGATATCTTCCTTTTCTTTGTTCCTCTACACATAATAGCCTCCCCCAATCCCTACACACACACACACGCTGCTTTGGAGAGTTTCTATTTATTGCTGATTTGAACAGTTTGATTAGCCAACTGACTTATTTTATCTCACCTTGAATCATGTACCTGGTTGTGCCTCTTTCTTTCCATTGGCTATCAAAAGCTTAGATCCACTCAGTGGCTTGGGAGACTGAGGCAAGAGAATCATGAGTTCAAAGCCAGCCTCAGTAACTCAGCAAGACCCTCAGCAACTTAGCAAGAACCTGCCTCAAAATACAAAAATAAAAAGGGGTAGAGATGTTGCTCAGTGGGTTCAATCCCTGGTACAAAAAATATAATAATAATAAGCTTAGGTCCCCGATGCTGCCTGTGCTTCCCACCTAGGCCTTCATCAGGCTTCTCTGTTCCCTCATATTTTTCAATATTTTATGATGTTAGGATGCACGTGTATTTTTTCTTAATTTTATTTTTTTGGTCACAAAAGTAACATTTTCTTCATATTAGGTCACATAATTCATATGTATATGAAGAAAATGTTAGTAATTCCTCCTGTACCCACGACCATCTCTCAATTCCACCCTGAATTAATAGTTACTAACAGTTTAATATAAAAAACCTCCAGATCTCTCTGTGCTCATATAAACATATCTAGAAACAACAGTGTATTTATTTTATAAGACCCTTTGAATTCTTTGTCAGAAGAAATAGGGTGTGAAAAAGTTAAACAAATGGAAATGTTTGATGTAACAATTTTGACAACGATGCTAAAGTCATTGCAAATGTTTGATGCCTGTTTCATGTTTGATGTCTGCATTTGAAGCACCTTGAGAGGCCTGTCCCTCGAGCTTACTGCTCAGAGCATGTAGGACATTCTAGCCAACAGAGAACATTTCAATCTTGACTCTTGCAGATTATCAAAGACCTGCAGTTGCTGGGGTTGGTGGCAGCCCTGGTGATGGCCGATGTGATCCTGCTCATGACATGGGTGCTGACTGATCCCATTCAGTGCCTCCAGATCCTCGGTGTCAGCATGACGGTGAGGGACCCAAACTCCGGGGATTCTAATTCCTGACTGGGCTGTCCTCTGTGGTCACAGGGGTCATTTTCCCAGAAGCATTCATTGTGTGGCCATAGTTGAAACAAGTAGAGGAAGGAGAGTATAGGGTTGGGGCTGCCATGAGTGCCCTGCCCCTTTTCCATAGGCTTCAGTGTCACTTCCACTGTGCCTCCTGCCCCTGATGCCTTCTCCTGGCATCTGTGAGATGTCAGCACACTGGAATCTGCCTGGCAGTCATCTCTGCTTCCACATTGCCCATAATGAGAACTTTCAGCTAAGGGGTAGTTGCCTTCCCTTAACTGTTGAGAGGACATGGTGGTTTTGGAGGTAGTCTTTGGAGTTTCCCTGGTTCAAATCCCAGTTCTACCAAGCTCACCAGCCATGTGACTTTGGGGAAGTTATTTAACCACTCTAAGTCTCTTTTCCTCCAGCCTCACAAGAGGCTGAGAAATACAGCAGAATCATGACATTGCAAGACCTAACGTAAGAATCCAACATTTGCAAGTAAAGGTCCATGATGTGAAATAATCTGTAATATCAATGAAGCAGCATATTAAATAATTGGGTAGCAAAGCATATGATTGAAGGGTAAACCCTGCTACCACCAAGCACCTAGTATCCACCCAACTTTATCATCTTTCCTTCCACCTCATAGTCACTCTCATTTAGGTTCTAATGGAATCACCTACATTTTTCCATTTTACTTACTGAGGGGGAGTTATGTGCTCTGGGGGAGTCCATTCTCCAGGATGTTCACAAAGATCTGTTGTGTGATGCTGGTAATTGTGAGTACCCTCAGTACTGACCCTGTGTCCCTCCTAGGTGACAGGGAGAGATGTGTCCTGCTCTTTCACCAACACACACTTCTGTGCTTCACGGTACTCTGATGTCTGGATTGCTCTCGTTTTGGGATGCAAGGTTGGTAACTATGTCTCAATGAATGTCTGTCACCAACAAAATGGATATGAAGAGGGGATTGCAGGGATTAATGAGGTCCATTAACTAAAGATGTCTATAGAGAGTTTGAACTCAGAGAAGATCTCTGTTGGTGCAAACATCTCAAAGCCATGAGCCTTTTATTTCTCTGTTTTTTCAGGAGTCACTTTTTTAACTCTTTGGATTTCCTCATTCAGTCTTCTCTACATCATCTGGAATTTATCCACTGTTTCTCTCATTTTTTGGTCTGGTTTTTAAGTTAATTGGACAAGACCCATTTTCTCCATAGCTCCCCTGTAAGAAAAATACGAGACATTCCACTCAACTTAGTTTGCTCTCCTAATGGCTTCTACTGTGTCTTGTGTCTTTCTTCACATCTGTGTCTTGGTCTCCCGCTGCCTTTCACCCATCTGACTTTCTTACTCTGGTTGGGTGCAGGTGTGGCTCTAAGACAGCAGCATCCACAGTGTCCATTGAGGGATCTAGCTGCCTCAAAGTATCTCCCATACTGCCCCAATCTCCCATTCTGAGACTCATGTGTCTCTGTTAGATGAGGAAATGTTGGAAACTCTTTCCAGAGGGTATAGGAAACCTGTACAGGGCAGTTAAGGACAGTCCTCAGAACATATTAGACCCTTAGTTGCTTTTCAATTTTGAGGGCCAAGGGCAGACCTGCTTCCCATGAACTGGGCAGCCTTACCGGACATGAGCCTGCTATTAACTATCCAGGCAAGGAGGCCTGGGAGACTGGAGGGGGAGTTTTTATAGCAATAGGTGGCTTTTAAAGGTGAACTTGACCCATTCTACCACTAGGAACAGGCCTTGGCATGGTGGACTAGGGCAGGGAAATGTTGCTTTTTAACTAAGTGCGTATACTACTCTGATAGAAATATTTGATAAAAGAAGATGTTATTATTGTTTTTGTTCTTCCACTGTTCACCAACAGTTCTGAGAAACACAGGCCCTCTACTACTTCCTCAAGCCCCTGTAACAGAGCCTACCCTCTCCAGCAGGGAAACCCAGCACTTCCCCATAGCAACACTATGTGACCCACTTTGACTTTTTTTTCCTCCATTGCTCTTTATATATTCTCATTTCCATTTAATTTCACTGTGCTATTGTTCTGTAGGACAAAGAAAGAAAGGAGGAAAGAGTGCTGAGCATGGGAAACTGACTGAGCCAGACCCCCAGAGGCCAGTCAGTGAGGAGCCAATCCCCACATTAGGTTCCAGGATCCCCCATCTGAGCCTGTCAGCTACCCCTACTCCATCCTTAGCAGTGAAGGCAAATGACTTAAAGGATCAGTTCTGACACACTCAACAGGAAGCATGGATGTATAGATGCTTTATTCATGCCTAATTCCCTTTTAGCAAGAATTTTAACCAAATTAAATGTTTTATTAAAAATTTATATTTGAAAAAATAAATTAAAAAAAGAAATTTAGAAAGAAATATATATTTGAACATTTATTCCTATTTTTTTTTCTTTTTTGGTAATGGGGCTTGAACTCAGGGCTTTTGCACATGCTACATAAGCACTCATTTTTTGTTTTGAGACAGGGTCTCGTCAAATTGCCAAGGCTGCCTGGAATATGTGATCCTCCTGCCTCAGCCTCCCCAGTTGCTGGGATTACTGGTGTGCCCCACCATGCCTGGCTGTATTTGAATATTTCACATCACAGAATTAATTTCATTCACCTCTGATACCCAATGCTGACAGATTCACCTAACTGGTATCAGTAAACTCAAAGCCAGGCCCCACTGGCCCCCTAACTTTTGTGTCCCCTAATTATTGAAGAGCTCAGGGTGGCCACCTTTAGCCTTCAGCCTCATTTGGCATGCTGGGCATTAGAGCTCCAAAGGCTTCTCTGCCATGCTGATCCTGTCCCTCCTGGCATAGCCAGTGCTCCAGAAATTATCATAGGGCTGTCCCTGCAGGTGGGGTTGCCCAGATGATTGATTTCTGGGTCACGGGAGTGTCCTGCAGATAACTAACCTTACTATCATTCTTCTCCTTTTGACTCCCCATGTTCCCAGCCCCACCTTGTCCCCTATGGCATCCTCACATCTGTGTTAAAAACAGGGACATCTTGATGCTTCCTTTAAATGTCTCTACCATACTGATTGCTCTGAAAGCTAGGACCATGACCTTTTATGTAGAGCACTAATTTCCACCAAATACGTAGTATCATACTTTATGTATAGTCAGAAAGGCAAGCATATGTTGAATCTATTTGCTGTGGATTATGGATTGAAGCTTTGATTTCTGTATATATAAAGTTCCTTCTGGGAAAAGCAGCAGTTTAAGATGTTGTGAGTTATTTTGTCTTTAGTACAAGTGAACACTCTGAAAGCAGGTTCATATTCACAGAAAGAGGGAAAAAAATAGTTCCTTGTGGTGGCGACAGGGAATGTCACAAAGCAGCAAAAAGTATAGGGGGAGCATCTGTTGCCTGTTCCTGCCCCACAGTCCTGCCTAAGTCCCAGCCCGCCTTTGTTCTTCTCTTTCCACCCTTCATCTCCCATAAACCCCCCCTGGCACAGAGCCACCGCTAGCCTATAGAGATCTTTTGTGTAAGTTAGAAAACGCCATCTCTTCTAGGCAGATGCAATCTTGCAGGTGCAGAGCTTGGCAAGCAGATGGTGTCTTTGGGAAAATTAGAAGAAGAAAAAAAGCCCCTCCCTCCGGGCAGTGCCCTGCTGTGGCACAGGACTTGAGAAGCAAACCACTGGTCGATTTCAGCTTCCACGTGTCCCCTCAGCTTCATGCAGTGCAACAACCACACAATGGATGCAGTAGCCCTCACCACCAGCAGCCCTTCTAGTGCCCATCACCCCTTCTGCAGCACCCCAATCCACCCACATAAGCCTGTCCTTTGCCTTATCCCAGAAGATTCTTGTCTAATGGCTGACTTCCTGGTCTCTGATAAACTAATTCTCAGTAAAAGAGAGGAAAATAACATTTATTAAGCACCTACTGAGTAGAAAGGATGCCACAAGCTTTTCCTATGTGTTTTCTTAACAAGTTCTCATATCAACCCTTTGTGGTAGCTATTATTTACCCAGTTTTATATAATGGGGACATCCCAACCCTACTGCTCTTTAACATGTCATTCCACTTCTCTGTGTCTCTGGTTTCCCTCTCCTCCTCCAGGGACTGTTCTTGCTGTATGGTGCCTACCTGGCTGGCCTGACAGACCACGTCAGCTCTCCTCCTGTGAATCAGTCCCTAACAATCATGGTTGGGGTCAACCTCCTGGTACTGGCTGCAGGGCTGCTCTTTGTAGTCACCAGATACTTGCACTCCTGGCCCAACCTCGTCTTTGGACTCACATCTGGAGGCATCTTTGTTTGCACAACCACAATCAACTGCTTCATCTTCATTCCTCAGGTATGCTCTAGGGAGGACTTTGCAGGGCCTGTTCTCTTAGTCACTCAGAGTTTTCTCTGGGCGTGACAGATTGTGTATTTTGTTTTCTGCTGATACCTTTCCTTGCCATTTGTTGGAGAGTCAAAAAGAAGGCAAGGGCCCCCTATGACCTTCCTTACTGACCTGGGGGTGGACAGCTGTGCTTCTGGTCAGCTAGAAGGGCAGGCCAGAGGGGACTGAGCAATCGCATGGTCTGTTCCTTGGTGGTTGCCTGGTTCCTGCTTTTACACCCACTCTGATTAACTCATTACTAATTCCCCCTTCATCTTGATAACACTAGTTTTTTTTTTTTTTAATAGTCCTGGAGGGAGAAAAAAGTTCTTTCTTTCTACTTGAGAGTACAGATTCACTGGGAAAATTTGATTTGGAACTTTGGGATTTAAAATGCTTTTTGTTTCTTTTTATTAGAGGCAAATCTAGAATGTTCCTCTTCGTTTTACAACAGGGAAAAATCAAAATATGATTTATATTATAGGGATTAAGAAGCAGAATTATTCAGACAGCAAAGAAGAAGAAAGGAGGTCAGAGGAAAGGAGAAGGCATACAGAGGCTAGAAAGGAAAGTGATGGTAATTGTTGCCACAGTGCACTAGCAACCCCGAACACATCTATCCAAGCTTACAAACGCAGCAGCAGGCACTTTGCTATTTCCCTCCTGGTCCTCCTTTCTTTTTCCTGAGGCCTCCCTCATCCCTCTCTTCCCTCAAGTCCCCATTCTGGTTCCTCTGCAGCTTCCAGGTGACTGAACTACTTCCTCATGAGAGAGCTAACCCATCATTGCAGCATCAGCTAATGGCAGATTTCAGTGTGTTTATCTAAGAGTCTACTTTGGGGCATGATGACATGACACAAGCATGAGCCAGTTACTGTTCTTCCTGTTCACAAATTCTCATTAAAATATTCAACAAAATCAACAAATAAGAAAAAATTAACAGGATGAGAATCCAAGGATGGATGTTACATCTATGTCAGAAATTGGAGGAATTTTTGCTGAATCTTCATGTTGTAAGAACTGGATTGAAGACGCCATTGAGAGCAGATACTTAATTGTCCAGGATGTAGCAGAAATGGGCTCTGAAAAGCAAAGACTGTTCCTCCCTGGAACATGGGGTAAAGGCAACAAGGAGGGGCCTTTTTGGAAGCCTCCCCTTGGGCCCTGTGGCCAACTTTATTGATTGGTAACCTCTTTGCCAACACCTTTCTTCCTTGCTTATCTCCACTTCTTAGGCTGGGAGAGCTAAATATTTGTTTGCTAGGCTCCTAGACAGGCAGAGGTATTTCTGTGATACTGTTTGGAACACTAGAGGCTTTCTGGGAGACTTCTGAGAGAGCTTTTGTTTTCCTAAAAAAAAAAAAAGCAATAACCATGGTTAACATACCCCTTTTCTCTTCTTCCTGTTTTGAGTATATGTGATACCTGAAGCCATGGCAGCTGTATTGTAAACATTATGGAAAGACCAGGAAAATATATTTATTTTACTGGAAAAATATAGTTCTTTCCAAGTAACACAAGAAATTCAAGGGGAAGGACCTATGAAGGAAACCAGCAATTCACAAAAAGAGAATCACAAAAAGGGATGGGGTTGTGGCTCAGTTGGTAGAACATTTGCCTGGCATGTGTGAAGCACTGCGTTCAATCCTCAGCACCACATAAAAATAAATAAATAAAATAGAGGTATTGTGTCTGTCTACAACTTAAAAAAATATTTTTTTAAAAAAGAGAACCACAAAAGCTGAAGATTTGTAGAAGGTGCCTTTCTCTGAAGTAGAACTAAAGTTTTTAGAAGCTATATTATTTTTCTCATCAATAGGATTCGAAGGATATTGCCCATCTTCAACAAAAGCAAACCATCATGCAAAGAACATAGTCTTAACTAATGAAATATTAAATAGGGATGAAAATATGGTGTTAAAATTTTAAATCCCAACCAAAGCACTGAATAAGCAATTGGACAGTGCAAAATATTGAATTAGTAAATGAGGGAAACAGAAAACAAGAAGACAGATAAAAGTGAGAGACCAGATAAGAAAATATAATGATCAGGTCTGAGGATACAATGTAGAGGTAATGGGAATCTTTGAAAGAGAATGACATAATTTGGGGGCAGAAGTAATTATCCAGGAACTATCAAAGGAAAACCTTCCTGATCTCAACAAGACCCCCATCTGTGCAAACCAGCAACCTCAGGTATGCGGCTCTCACCTACATCTTTCCTCCCCCGCCCTCTCACCACCACATCCTAAGCCTTAGCCAAGCGGCTTCCTCTGGTTGAATCCTCAGCACCTAGGACAGTAGTGATTCCAGGTGCACTCCCCCTACCATGAACACATAAAGCAGGATGACAAACAGCAGACGTCTGACTTCCACGTCTTAATTAAGCAACGAGCCCTTGGTTTGTTGAAGAGGGAGTGGAGATGGGATTGTGGGGCACAGGAACTGTGTGGATGGACCGACGGCCGTGGCCTTTCTCTTTCCTTCTGCCTCACTACCCCTTTCCTCCTAGCTGGCTTGAGCTTCTTTTCTCTGTATCTCTCTTCTATTTTCTTTCTCACGTTCTTCTCTTGAGCTGACCATGATGTGAGACTAAAAAAATATTTTTATTTGAGTCTGTCGTATTTGAGGTTTAGGAGATACATTCTTTTTCAAAATGTAAAAATGACTGTCCTCAAACTGATTTCCCTCCCTGTCCTTTGGTAGAAAAAGGACTCCCCCTCTGAGATTTGGACTGTATTTCCCCAGGATAGTAGGACAGCTGAGTAAACTATGGAAAAGTGTGCGAGGGGACCTCTACCGAGGGCGGGGCGGCGGTCGGGTCGCAGTGCAGTGCGTCCTCCTGGCTGACAGCCTCCAGGCTCCGCTGGGATGGGTGGGGCTTGTGACAGCGAAGGCACAGATGCCCCCAGTGGCCTCTAGGCGGCGCTAGAGAGCCGGTGAAATGGATGACAAGGAGGCGAGGGGACCCAGCAGCCTTCTACAAGGGCACTCAGGAAATGCCTAAGTGTTTGTGCCAAGCACTGAGGTCATCACCAGCAATCAGCCAACCTTTGCTTTGGTGACCCGAACATGAACCATCCCCCACCCTCCATTTCCTGTGTGAGGCAGTCGCTCAGAGACAGGACACTGTGTTCTCCTCTAACCCCCAAAGCGTTTCACCTGCTCCTCCGTGAGCATATTTAGGACTTTCTACTCTGCCTTATGGTTATGTCTGTGTCCCAGCACTCCTGTTAGACTGGAGAGCTTCTTAAAGGGAAGCTTCTTTCTCTTAGTCTTGTATCCATCCAAACCATTTCTTAGCTGCTGGGAACCTGCGTCAAATGCATGGCCCCACCTCCAAGGTAATGGGGAGCAAACACGAAAGGAATTAAAATCTTGAGGAAAGCTTTACACAGAGCTGGGGAAGGAGAACTCAGTGATGACATCTCAGCAAATGAGGTGTTTGCAGTCAGGCTTGAAGGAACAGTAAGAGTTCTCTGAGCAGATGGGGGAGGGACAGTAGGTGACCTTTCAGATGGGATAACACTGATCCGAGGTGTGAGTCAGAGGATGTAATGTATGTATGTTTGGAATACCCTAAGTCTTCGCTGGTTTTGCAGCACAAATGGTAACAATAGGAGAGTGGCAGGAAGTGAGAGAGGTGCATTTGGTGAGCTTCTGAAAGCTGCGCAGTAACCTGCTGGAGACTACACATTTAACATACACCCCGCCCCCATAGTAGTTTCCTGTTAAGGCTGCAACAAATTACCACAGGCTTAGCAGCTTAAAACAACACAAATATATTATCGTACAGTTCTGGAGGTCAGAAATCTGAAGTGGATCTTATTTAGCTAAAATCAAGGTGTCAGTAGGTCTGACTCCTTCTGGAGACTCTTAGGGATGATCTGTTTCCTTGTCTTTTCCAGCTTCTGAGGGCCACACACATTCTTTGGCTCAAGTCCCTTCTTCTACTTCCTGATCCAGCAGTGTGACATCTTCAGATCTCTCTCTCTGCCCACCCCATCTCCCTGTTTCCATCTCTTTCTCCAACTCTAATCCTTCTGCCTCCCTCTTAAAAGGACTCCTGTGATTACATTGAACCAACCTGGATAATCCAGGATCTCCCTATCCTCAAATCCTTAATCACATTTACAAAATTCATTTTGCCATGTAAGGCAACATATGCACAGATTCCATGGATTCAGAGGCAAATGAGCATCTTTGAGGGGCCATTACTCAGCTCCCACACCCACATAGCCTAGAGGCTGAGAAAACATGAATGTGCCTGTCCTGAAGGAAGCGCTTTACAACCTGAGAATTATTTATAGCTATAATCCAGAAACCCTGAAGGGTCAAGTTTTAAGTGCCAAGACCTTCACAAATGAGGAATTAAGCTTGGCTGCACCCATTTCACTTAGAGAGACACCAGCCCAAAGCCCAGAAGTGCCCTGATGCCCATATTTACCTATTTTGGCAGCCCTGCAGAAAGGGCTCAGGCTCAGAGTGCTGGGGGCAAAGGGAAGAGCTGTACTACCAAGGAAAGGGGGATGCTGAGAGGAATAGACAGCCTGTGGCACTGCCAGGGCATTGTTTAAGAATGACTTTAGGAGATCTGCTCCATTCACATAGGACCAAAGAGGGACGTGGGCTCCAGTAGCTGCTGAGTGCAGCGTTGAACCTCCCACTTGGCCCTTTGGGAAGGGCTCTGAGAGGGAGGTTCCTGGCCTGTCCCAGGCCACACAGACTCCTGATACCATGAAGACATGTGCTGAGTCAACACAGGACCCAAGAGGACTTGGGTGAGGAGGTGGTACTGAAATTAGGAGTGAAATCCAGGATCCTATCTGAAATTTATGGAATTTGGGTTATGCTCCACATTCAAGAGTTTAGTAAATGTTTGTTGAGTGACCGAGGAAATCCAAGGTCTCCTTTTGAGGCTATCCATAGACACTTCAGCAGCATTCCTCAAAATAATATGCCAGAATCCTCAATGTCCATCACTAGGACACTTAGTTTTGGGGATTCCTTAAGGAAAGAGAAAAGCCTCCACTACTGTGCCCATCAATCCACATTATGGGCTTTCACAGGTAGGCACATGTCCCAGAAGCTCCAGAGCAAACCCCTATTTGTGAATGTGCACCAGCTCCATCCCTATTAAAGGGAACCAGCCCATGCTTCTACAGATTGTTCCTCAAGGTCAGTCTCTGCCAAAGAATTTCCCCCTAGGACCTCACAGCTAACAGTCTTCTCTTCATCACTTGTGGAGGGATAGGCAGTGTGGCTTATTGACCTGGTTACAGCTGTGGGTCTGCCACTGACTTCCTGTGTGAGCTTAGACAAGTCACACTCCTACTGGAATCTTTCCTCATTTGTCAAGGGAGAGATAGGGCCATGTGTCAGACCTAATGTCCATCATTTTTGTTGACTTCTGTGGGTTCCTATCTATTGGAGCCTTGCTCATTTATTAGGATTAGAAGACCACTCACAAGAACTGGGTTCCCAACATCAGGAAGCACATTATTACTCAGCAAATAAAAACTGATGAACAGCAGCTACACCCAACTAGAAACAGTTTGATTTGAAACATACACTGTTTAGAAAGCTTAACCTCCTAAACTCTGGCTTTAAAATATGGTTCTAGGAGTATACATCAACTCTGGTTCTCTTTGATCAGTTTGGCAATCAGTAGAAGAGCTAAAGTTATTCATTCTTTGTCATCTTCTTCCTTGGGCATTTTTAAACTGTTATTATAGGTTTAACATTATACTTTCTATAACTCCTGTCTACAAGCCCTCCAGAGCAAAGGACATTTTGAGGAGAGAATGGTCTGTGCCTATGTGTGTCTGTGACAGTGTCATTCCTTGGTGTTTCTGAGAAGTGAGGGAATGTGTCTCTGGGTGTGTTATTAAATAAATAACATGTGTTCTTTTTTTTTTCTAACAGCTGAAGCAATGGAAGGCATTTGAAGGGGAAAACCAAACAATCAGACACATGGCCAAATATTTCAGTACTCCCAGCAAAAGCTTGCATACCCAGTTTGGTGACGAACAGACCTGCCACCTGAGAGGAGAGAAGAGCTCCATGGAGAGGCTCCTCACAGAAGTAAGCTTCCCCCTGCCTGGCAGATTGCTGTGAAGAACTCCAGTCATGCACTGGTGGGCCCCATGTGCTTTCATGGCCAACGTTCCCCCACTTTCCCAGACAGCAAGCAAAACCTCTACATTGTCCCAGTGACTTTGTACAGGCAATGAACAGGTGTATATTTAGTCATTTTTATGTGTTGGGCATTGTGCTAAGCTCTGAAGAACAAAACAAACACAGTTCCTACCCTCATGGAGCTTACAGTCTAGTAGAGAAAATGGATATTGATTAAATGAACGAGTAGTCATGAATTGTGGTAAGAATTATGAAGGAAAAATTGGGGTAGTAATTCAGAATAATGGGTGGTGGGGACAAAGAGACCTATCACTGAAAGTGAACAGAAGTACAAACTGACCAGGCAAAGAGTACAGGAAAAGCATTCCACGGAGAGGGAACAGCATTGTAAAGGCCCCAAGTTATAGTGGACCTCAGCATCAGTGTGATACATTCTTTCTTTATATAGACTATTACCCTCATAGCCAAGATCCCACAGGGCCCTCACTGTCCCTGCCAGGTACTAATGGGAGAACTCAATCATCCCGTGACCCTAGAAAGCCTGACCTGTCTACAGATATGAAAGGGCACTGAATGTCACAAGGGCCTCTGAATGTCACTACAGCACCAAGGCGGGTTGGACAGCCCCAGCCCTTCTTTCTTCTATTCTTGAGCCAGAGTTGGCCCCTCTCCCAGACAAACACAGTGTGGGCTTGAGGCAAGCACGTGGAAAAGCTTGAGGACTACATTCCTCAGGAAGAAGGCACAGGGCCCAGGGGAATTAGTCAGTATTTTGACACTAGCTAAATTACAACCCATATTTTTTTCTGTATAGATTATACCTGGATAGGTGCTATTTGGCAAACTGTACTTTTTGTAATAGGACTGCCCCTTGTTATTAACAGTCCTGGTGAGAGGATGGTATGTTGGAAACCTAAGAAGCCCCAGAGAAGGAGGGCTGAACCTGCCCAGGCACCCACAGAGCCTGCCCCTCTGGTCTCCCACATCATACCCTTAGCCCTGGCCTTTTCTGTCCATCACAGTACATTTACTTACTATTTATTAAACACTCAGGACATTATTTCAAAACTAGACTTCCCCCGCCTGGAAAGGGAGTGACATTGCCTTTGATGCTCTGTGAATTCTTCAAAGAAGCATTTTTTTCCCCCTCCGGCTAAACAGAAGGCCAGAAACTTGGCTAGAACAATCTGGATAGTTTTCAGTTATGATCAGCCAATGCTGGGATGGCCGCGTGGACTGACTCTTTAGCCTTATGGTAATTTGTGACGTGCTTTTTGTACCTCTGCCGTGCTGCCATTTCCCACACAGTGACTGAATCTGCTCTTCCAAAAGGTTGCCTTGAGTCCGTGGAGGAAGGGCTGGAATGGATGCAGATGCATAGGCAGTAAAAAGCTGGCCTCCCCAGCACCTGCTATGTCTTTCCAAGAACAGGCCTGAGCACCAGCAGTCTGCCTTGGGCCCGTGGCAAGTGAGAGAGAGAGAGGGTCTCATGTGGGCCTCCCGGAAGCTAGCAGTGCATGATGAATAAGTACAAATACCTCTGGAAGCACAACGTGGGCACAAGCCCTGACTCCAGCAGTTTTCTCCTTACACAGCTTTCTGTCCAGCCCTCGTGCCTTTCTCGTTCTTTCCCATGATCTAGGCAGTCCATCTTCTCCTTCTTGCATCCTCTTGTTCCAATGGCTAGGGATCCCCTGGCTGTTAGGGTTAACATCTGTCACTGACCACCCAGCCTGTGTGAAGGCAGCATAGAGAACCTTCCCAGAGGCTGAGGCGCCTCCCCTCCATACTCTGCCACCGAGGATACCTGCCTAACCTTTTTCTTCCTAGATCCAGAGATATGAGAGGTTGATTCTGTTGCTCCTTATGACCTTCACCCTATGAGAAAACACCTGTTGGCCTTTTGCTCCCTCAGTGCACCAAAAGTAATAATTAATACACTCATTTAAAAACAGCTGTCACTGAAGGTCAGATTTTGGCGTCACGATAGCCTCTAATTAGAATGCAGCCATGGTGGAAAAAGAGTCCCATTTCCTTTTCTGGAAGAAGGGAAATATACTGTTTACCCTGATGTTTCTAAATCTGTCGCCAGCCAGCTTCAGATGTTTGCTTAACTGGGAGGAGAGTATTCTTCCCGGACTCAAGGTTTAGACTATTTTCCTACACTCGGAGAAGTTTTCGCATAAGGCACAAAAAGGCAGTGCTCAGCTTTCACCCGCTGGAGTGACAGTCATCAACTGATGACTTTTTCCTGACTCCGTGAGGCAGTGAAGGCCTCCTGAAGCCCAGGAGTGCTAGCAGGTGACAGCAGGACAATGTACAGGGTGAGCTTTAGGAGGAGGGGTTGGTGGAGGAGGGAGAGGGTTGGGGTCTCCTGTGCAGCCATTCCAGCCTCCCAGGAGATCCTCAGGGAGATCTGGCACATCCCAGACATCAGGAAGAGCCTGAACGGTCTCCTGTTACTCATTTGCTCTGCTCTTGCTGAGCCTTGAGTCATCCACACTCACCCAGCTACGCCCAGACCTTCCCAGCTGCCGGGAGGGAGAGAGAACTGTCAGGCAGGTGCTCAGCTGAAGTCCCTTCCGCCTGATTCACCAGTCACTCACTGGGCATGGCTTCTCTCCTGATGATAACGAAGTAGACTAAACCAGAATGAAACTGGGAGTACAAAAACTGTCAAGAAAAACCTCTTTCCTGTTTATGCACAGGGGGTTGCAATGGGTCTGCCTGGGGGGGGGGTTGCTACCAGATTATTTGTCTATTTTATTTCAGTTACTACCCTGAAAAGATCATTTCTAAGCAACTCTTTCATGTAAATTCAAGAAATGACCACAGGCTGGGTCCATGAGAAACTTGTTAGTTATCCTAAAAAAAGGGAATACCCTTTATTTCTAGCACTTGAATAAATGGATGTCCAAATGCTCAGCTTTAGCCTCTAAAGAGACAGCAACAAAGAGGCAGCATTTGGGCCTTCAGACAAGCCCTTCCTAGAACATAGCACTTCCGTTACTGCCTTCCCCAAACCCTTGACCCTGTATCACCTGCCCTAAGACCATTCATTAGGATCTCATTCCTACTTCTCTGCCTTGGAGCATCAGAATTTTCCAAACATGGAAAGACAATCCCCTGTTGCCCCACAGGCAGATGTCCAGAGTGCAGTCACACCCACTGCTGATCCTCCTCCTCCTTCCTGTCCCACAAATTTACAGACAGAATAGGTACACCTTTGCAGCTGTCACCTGCCAGCACTCCTGGGCAAAGCCTGTTTATCCGCTACCATTCACGCAATGGGCAGGCAGCTCAGTTGCAGAACTTCCCTTTCCCCAATTTCATTCATCTTCTGCCCTCCATTCTACAGTTATTGAATCAAGTACCAGAGACTTAGGCCCAATAATCATTTTTTGTTCGTTTATTTATTTGTTTAAAGCTTCTGCAATAATTGTGATGCACATAGTCCTTTAGGAGATATTGATGGTTGACCTTGCCACATGGTAGCTTTGGCCTCTCACCCCCAGAGGTCCAGCCTGGGAAGATGGTCATGACACAAACCCAAGATTCTTCCCATCAGCTCCTCCTGGATCCAGTCAGATTTGGCTCAGGAATCTCCTCTCTTCTCCCTGTTCTTCCCATTTTCCAAGCTGCTTAGCAAGAGGCAAACTACTTATTTCCCTACTTGTACCTCCCCAGGAGATGTGTTTCAGATTCATCTGTGGTTGACAAAATTGTGAGAAATCCAGAATGAGACCATCCCAAACCCCTTGAGATCAGTGTCCTGCAGAGTAAGCTGAGCCTCTTGGTTCTGGGAAAAGAGTGAGAAGATGCTGCAGCAGCCAGCAACAGACAGATGGGGCTCCTCTCTCCTCACAGTGCCATAGCCTGGGGGATGGAAGGGGAGATGAAGATCATAGCAACAATAAATCACAGCAGCCTTGATTGAACACCTTCTGTCAGTTATTGTGCTAGGCACTTTGCTCGCTTTGATTCATTTCTCCTGGTGGAGGCATTTTCTTGGAACCAGGACATTGGAAAAACTGGGATTTAAACCAAGGTCTTCGGATGCCACACTTTTTCCATCGTAGGAGGCAGTGTAGAACCTGTAGCATCATCTTTGGTTGATGATTTGCTTTTATTTTACAGAAAAATGCTGTGATTGAAAGCCTGCAGGAACAAGTAAACAATGCCAAAGAGAAGCTGGTGCGGCTGATGTCTGCTGAGTGCACCTATGACACCCCAGAGTGGGCTGTCCCACCCACCTCTTTCCAGGGCCAGGATGCCCCAGCTGCAGCCTCTGCTCATGACCTGGCAGCTCAGGGACCTTCAGAATGCCCCTCTGCCTCTCAGGATGATGTGGGCAAAGCTACCCAAGACTCCCAGTGCACCTCAGCATCCTCCCCACACATGCAGAGCCTCAGGACACCTGCAAGGGACACCAGCTCCTCCCCAGGCCAGAAAATGCCTGACTTGAAAGACTTTTATGATCATCCAGACTCGGGTTGTAGCCAGAAGCCACAGGCTGAGCAAAGACAAAGTCCAGAAAGAGAAGACCAGGGACCTGAGGCCTCCAGCCAGAGTGTCGTACTAAGTGGAGGGGCCTCTGGTCTCCAGAGACAAAGGCAGGGCTCAGAGGCTTCCCCAGAGAGAGTACCTGGGGTCAGTTCAGCAGTCAGAGAAAAGCTTCAGGAAGTCTTACAAGAACTGGACCTGGGCCCTGAGGCTCCCCTCTCTGCCTCCCCATCTCGTCCTCTGCAGCTCTGGAAAAGCAGTGCTGCCCACAGTCCCCAAAAGATGCCCCTTTCCAGGGAGCTGGGCTTCAGCCCATACATAGTGAGGAGGAGGCGGGCAGCTCAGCGGGCCCGCTCACACTTTTCTGGCTCTGTACCCTCCTATGTGTGGCGTCAGGCAGACAGGACTGTTTATGGGGCACACAGTGGGCTGAACGTGCAGAGTGGGGACAACCGCAGGCTGTACCTCCAAACTGCTGATTCTAAGGTACGAAGGCTTTCTTCCAGGAAGCCTTTACTACTCCCAGATCCTCAAGGGGGGCCAGGGCCCCTGGAGGGCAGCAAACACCGGACAGAGCCCCAGGGGGCTGAAGAGAGCCAAGCAGCCTTTCCTCACCAGCCTTCTGCCTCTGCTCAGGCACAGAGTCCCACTGCCCCACGCCTTCCCCGCTCACCAGACCTGCCTGAGCAGCAGCGGCTTCGGCCCCCAGGTTACCCTGGCTGTCCCTTCCTGTCTTCTCAGTGCAACTACCTTGACACTGAGTCCAGCAGCTCAGATGAGTTCTTCTGCCGCTGCCACCGACCCTACTGTGAGATCTGTTTCCAGAGCTCTTCTGACTCCAGTGACAGTGGCACATCAGACACTGATTCTGAACCTGCTGGGGGGCTGATCTCCTGGGAAAAACTGTGGGCCCGTTCCAAGCCCATTGTGAACTTCAAAGATGACTTGAAACCCACGCTGGTATAAACATCAGCAGGGTTTGGTCTGGATATAAAGGTCAGACCAGCTGGAGCCTACAGGAGGAAAGCCAGATCCTGGTTTGGGGAACAGACCTGAGCAGCTCTGTGTTTGAGCTGTGCTCTCTGTTACCTTAAGAACTTCTTGATCATACAGGGAGATATTACCTGTCTTGCTACTACCTCACAGCATGACTGTCAATGACTCCAGTTGAGTGACTAGAAGATACCAACTCCTTGAATAAAAAGAGCTAAGTGAGCACATGGAGTTTTCTGTCCAGGTCAGCCTGCATTCTACAAAATTCTTAATATACCACCAGGTGGATGACCGGATGGACAGGAAAATGGAGAGATTTCTGCAAAATTTAAGTTGTAGACTGTGACCCATCAAACTGACCTTTTGATGAACACATCTTCCAGGAGAATAAATCTCCTATGCCAGGCATCCCAGCTATTTAGGAGGCTAAGGCAGGAGGATTTCGAGTTCAGGCCCAGCCTGGGCAACTTAGTGAAGACTTCAGCAACTTAGTAAGATCCTGTCTCAAAATAAAAATAAAAAGGGATATGGCTTGATCGTGGAGCACCTCTGGGTTCAATGCCCAGTATCAACAAACAAACAAACAAAAAACAGATGAATCTTCTACATCTTTGGTCCTTTCAAACCTGGAGGGTGGGTTTCTTTCTACTGAAGGTTGTAAACTTCACCACCCATGGATTCCAGCTTCTAATCAGACGCACCCCAGAGGGTCCACCTAGCCCCACTGTTCCTTTTCCTTTCCATCCACCATCAATGGCATCTCACCCGCCATCATCCCCAAGATAGTCCGGTCTCCATGTGCCCACAGGTGACCCAGTTCTCTTTCCTGGACTAAATTAGTACCAGAGACCAGGAGTGTCTTCTGACCCTGAAGCCCACCCCCTGACTCTCCCAGTGCTGCAGTGACGTGCTGGGAAGCACATGCAATTTCTGTTGGGATAGGGAGGCCCTGCTGGCCGAGAGGTACTTGAGTCTTATTGGGTTTACATGACCATCAAAGATATAGAAACCTGGAAACAAAATGGGGATGGAGAGAGAGAGAAATGGATGACAAGAAGGCTAGAAAGAAAACAGGCTGTGAAAATTTCACTTGAGTCTGACTCAAATTTCAGTAATTCCCACGATCATCCCGTGAAGTAGACACTCTTATTTTTACAAATGGGGACTATGAGGCTTAGATAAATGAGATGATTTCCCCAGTATCACGCTGTTGGAGAACTGACACACAGCTCCTGAGACTCCACGTTGGTGGATTTCCCTAGGGACACGTCCTTCACTCAGTCTTCTGTTAGTGGCAGGTGAGGCTCGTCAGGCAGACAATCAAGCCAGGGTGGTGTGAGAAGCTGAGATGGGCTCACCCCACAGTCCAGGGTAACAAAACTGGGTCTCTCCCTCCCTCTGGAAGCAGGCCTCCACTTCCTCCCTGCTGCAGGGCACACCTGCACCTCTGAGGGACTCAGAGAATTGGTAAAGGACAAGTGCCAGGAGCTCATCCACCACCAAAGCCACAGGGAGAACACAGCTGGGTCCACTTTGCTTGATGCTGAACTGGTTGATGTTTACAGGCTGTCCCCTGCTCCCGCGCCCACGCAGGTGTCTGTGGGTGTGCACAGGTTTTCATGAAGGAGTTTGGGCCTCAGAAAGGAATGTTGGGCACTAAATTTCTCACAGATTTATCACAGACTCTAGTGGCCTGCAGATACCTCATGACCCCTCTGATGCTGGACTTCCTGTAGGCCCTCCTGGTAGCACAGCTTCTTTTATTGCCTACTTTTAAATACAAATTTCATAATTTATTCTGTGTGTGGGTTTGTAGTTTCTGTGTGTGCTGTCAAGTGGTGCCTTAATAAAAACAAACAAAAAGGAATGACTCCCAAGGCAAGTCTCCTCTGAAATTGCAGTCTTGGGCCAGGGAGGAGGGACCTGAGTAAGACTCAGCCACCCAAAGAAGAGGAAATGGAGAAGCCATCAGAGTTGCTGCTAGGTCCTCGTGGTTCCGGAGTGCTACTTCTGCCAACCGTCCAGTGTAACAGGTTCTGTGTGGTATCCCTGTGTAGCTCGCTCTCCCAGAAGTGCCCCCCACCCCTCCCGATAGAGGAAATGTTGGAGACCCTAGACTCCTCCCAACCACTGGGGGGCCTGTGGCTGGCTTCACCTCCTCCAGCTCCCCTCCTCCCAGTATGCCGCCACTCGAGGCCTATTGGGGGTTAATGTGGAACCTGCAGTCTCAGCCTGGCCATCATTTTAGCCCCTTACTCTGCTTCTAACCCCTTGGTCCCACTGTCACAACCTTTCTACATCTCCATCTTTCTTCCATCTAGAAATTTTTTCCTCACTTTATGTACCTTGTGAATTAGTTCCCCTTTAAGACCTAAATGGAGCATATGTCTCTCTTTGGTCTTTCCTGAGTATCCCCTAATAAAATTGACTGATCCCCTGGTGAAATGAGAGGGATGTTTGAGGGTTCATATTTTTGATTCAACTGTATACAGACTTGTATCACCTATTTCATCTAGAATGACTTTGTAAGCTGTGCTAGATCTGATTGAAAAGACGGAGAGTCCACCCCACATATTCCTTATTTGTCATTTGGTGCCGCAATCTGGCTGGGCACGATTCAGGAGCCACTTGTCAAAAGAAATGAACTTTATTTTTAGAACCACACATGCCAAACAAAACAGCTCCTCAGGAAAAACCCTCAGAGCCCAAATGCCACCCGGCTTCCCACAAGCCTCTCTCACAAAACCACAAGCCTCTCACAAAACCACAAGCCTCTCCCACTCCCACAATCCTCCTGCTCTTGAGGCCGATTGGCTGGATCGCGTGGGCGGAGCCAAAGAAGTCCCCCAATGAGCAGCTCCGTGGTCTGAAAGGGCAGGGATACAGCCCAATGAGCATCACCGCAGAGGAGCCAATCAGCTAGATGTTGCTGGGGCCTGCTGTGAGCCAATCATCAGCTGGCAGCTGGAAGTTTGCTGGGGCCCCTTGGCTGTGGCTCTCAACATCTCCCCCTCTCTGTTTAAACAACAAGCATGTGGCTTAGGGACTGTGCCTGCCTTAGGTTGTCCAATAGTACATATGGTTCTTACCCGTTATTGGATGAGCTGACCTCAAGGCGTCAGCCTCCTGTCTTAGGTTGGTACCATTGTAATTGGATCTTACCCGTCACTGACTACCGGTTCAGTATACAGCCACACCTGTGGAGAGGTACCAGCGGGGGGGTGAGGTTCTTTGCCTCACTTCTGTTGGCCCCCAAATTTTAGCTGAACGATCATGACAAGCAGAATTTGGTTCAAAAGCCATGTACCAACCACCATGCCTACCTGCCCCAAAATATACCACCACCACCTCTTCTCCTTTCCAGCTCCCTTTCTAAAGCTTTTGCCCAAGACCGGCTAATCCATGATGAAATTCTTAAAGGGATGAGTGTGCCATGACTTTTGGCACACTCTTGATTATGCTCTTGAAGAAAGGGCAGTAAATTATGTGAAGGAATCCTGGGGATGTAAACATTGCCTCTGCTGCCGTCATCCAGGCTTGTCTCTGTTGGTCCTAAGTGTACCATGAAGCCAGGCCTCATTCTGACCCCAGAAAATGTTCTCTGCTGATTGAAAATCTTGGAGTTCATAACAAAGTCTCTCCCGATCTCCTGGCCTGTCCCAAGCCCTCTTTCCTTAAAGGATCAACTTATCCCTTTTAAATACAGTTCACAAAGGAAGAAAAAAAGAATCAGATGCAGGAAGCATGTTTTTAAAGAAATATATCATTTTGAAAGTGGTAAAAGGAAAAGTCAATGCACATTCCATGAAAGTTCTTCAGTGTCTGTATTTATTACATTATATTTAGATGGGTCTCCTCCATGAATTGCAAGTTCCTGAAAGCCTTGTCTTCATGCGTCTTCATGTTGCCTCTCCTCTAGAGCAACCATCAGAGAGCTTTGTCCAAACTATAAGCCCAGCAAATATTCAGTGGGGGGCTTTCTGTGTAGACAAACAGGTGAAGCAAAGGAAAGCAAGGAAAAAAAGGAGGGAAAAGACCCTGTTCTGGGACTAGAGCTGAGCATCAAAGGGAGCAGAGCTATCTGGGTTCTCTGCGTTCCAAAGAGTTCACAGCATGAAACATTCAGACTCTGAAGCAGCTGGCTTCTCTGAAAGTGGTAGTACTCCAAATCTCCTAGCAGGAGGGCTTCTCCTAAAGATGCCACTTTCACAGGCTTTTTCCTGGGTAACAAGCAGTATTAGCTGGAGGACATCTTCTCCTTCCTCAGTCTTGCCTTCCTCAGCAGTTTCCCCATTACCTCTGGCTGCTACACCTTACCCAGGAACAGTGTTTGGGCTTCCTTAAGGGGGATCTGCTGCACCAGTGATGTTCAGGAGGCTGACCATCTTCTCTTCAGACTTTGCTCTCCCTCACCTCTGGTACCCACTGTGATCTCTTCCTCTCTAAAATGTTCCTGATCTTAGTATCCCCAACCAAACTCCATTTGAAAAGGAATGCCTTGGGTGTTCAGTTCACTATTGAGGCCACGGAGGACAGGAAATGCTGGTGTCACAAGGCAAATAATCTGTTGCAAGCTTGGCAAATCTGGGTCAGGGTTTCCCAAGATGCATGGGCTTGGGAGAGGCCTAGAAAGAGGTCTGTCAGTTCTTAAGAGAAAAGCAAAAGGATAGAAAAAAGAAGGAAAGGGAGACCATCCCAAAGAATGGAACAAGACAAGAGGGAGATTTGGGGATGGAGGAAGCCAGGCAAAGAACACAGGGATTCTACTTGATTTGGTCAGTAGGCAGTTTGCAGCAGTGGCCTCTCCTTGTAAATCAAAAATGTGCTGGTTTCACTTGCGAGGTGAGAAAGAATGAGGCTCACTCCTGCAAAGAGAGGCAGAGATAGCCTTGCAGAGGCCCTTCTTTAGTACATATATGGCTATGGGCTCATTTCTGCATCTCATTTCAGTCCCCACTAGACTGTGAGCTCCCCAAGCCTGGAACATGTTGTAATCATCCTGATGTCCCCTACACCCACTGCTGTACCTCATACATGATTGATGCTCAGCAGATTTTTGCTGAAACAAATAAATCTAGGAAGAAAGTAAGAGTAGCCAGAATAGTCTTGAGGCAGCTCTCAAATGGCCACATGGGAAGCCATACATGACTGTCTCTCTCATCTACTCACATGAAGGACAGCAAGTTGCCAACTCACCAAAGTTTAAATTTTCTGTGATATCTGAAACTTTTTTTTTTCTTTTGGTCAAGCAGGAATTTTATATGGGTTTCATTCTCTATTACATTTTGGGCAATAATTTTCTATTCCTACTGCAATGCCTATCTCAAAGTCCCCCACATGTCTGTGTGGTCTCAGCAAGTTGTCAAACATGGTTTTTAAGTTGTTTAACATTTTTATGACCCAGTTTCACCAACTGTTAACTGGAAAAATAACACCTACCCCATAAGGTTGCTGTGACGGCTGAAAGAATTAATGTGTAAAATAGCTTGAACTATGCCTGACACACAGCAAGCATTATTAAAGTGTTTGTTTAATAAAAATCAGATGGGAGAGGGGAGAGGAGACCCATGAAAGGGTAGTAGTGTAGAGAGGATAAAAGCATGTCATTTGCATATATGAAATATCACAATGAAATCCACTAATTTGTACAGTTAATATGTGCTGATATACACATATTAAATTTTATACACATATTAAATACAATTAAAACAAAAAGTAATAATAAAAAGCTGATAAAAATGTCTTAGAAAGGTATTTGGAAAACACAAATTTATATTCCAAAATCTCCTTTATGTTTTCTTGCTTTACACCTGAATTCTCTGTCATTGTCTTCAACTTATTTCTGGGGGAACAGCTCTAGCCAAGTGAGGATGGCAATTTGGCTCAGCCTACTTTTTAGGCAACAGAACTTTTCATCTGAACTCTTCTTCCCAGTCAAGCACACTTTCTGTGGGGGAGCACATCCACCTGTAGGACTCAGATATCAGGGCAGGGCCAAAGGGAGTGTGGTTGGAAAATGAAGAAATCTGATTTTTTTTTTAAAAGGTAGAGCCAAGAGACACAAATAGCTTCCTTTGTAGAAATATTGTGCATTTTGCAATAGAAAAAGATCCAAATATAGAATACCTGCTGTGTGCCACTTAACACTTGTCTCATTTAAGGCTCATAATCACACTACAAAGGAGTCATTGTCTCTTGTTTCACAGATGAGGAAACTTTAATTGGGAGAGGTTGGGTAAAGAAGAAAGAAACACAATTTGTTAGAGGCTGAGCCAGTGTTTGCACTGAAATCTAACTTGATTCCTAAGCTCTTTTGGGATTCCCCAGTGCTGGTTCCAGAACACGTGCTGCAGGTGTGCTCTTAGATCAGAGAATGAACTTCTACCCTACCGGGTGGGGCAGGGACTAAGGCTAAGGTTCTCTTTGGACACCAAGTTCTCCCTGGGAAAAGCCAGCTGGGCTGGTTCTGGAGATCTATTGCAAAACGTTCTGTGCTGAGTCATTGAATCAGCATCCTGGAGGTTGGAAAGCAGCTTTCTGAAGCTACCTGGTCCTTTCCACTCACTTCAGGAAGTTCAATGCTGAATACGCATTACACGGAAAACAAACAAGCTACTTATTTAAAAATACCATAGCCAGTCACCCAAGCCGAAAATGTTTTTTTCCTCAAGCATTGGCACAAAAAGAAATGTTAAACAAGAGACTCAGGAGACCCCACGACAACTAGAAAGAGCTAGAAGGAGTGCAGATCTCAGGTCTGCTGAGACTGGGGTAAAGCCACAGAATGCATGTTCAATTCACACGCCTACTTTGCTGAAAAAACCTTCTTTGCTCCCCACTTCCTGCAGGGTCTAACCTCACTGGCTTGAGGTTTGAGGACCCTGCCCATGGAGCTCTGCCCTCCATCGTGTTCCACTTAACTACAACTCTCCTAGCTCCTGCCGAATGGGTGTGCTATTTGTTTCTAGACCATACCCTGGTCCAGTTCAGGCTCTACACTTTTGCTCACAGAGCCCCTCTCTCCTTATTCAAACTACCAGCCTGAAATGGCCTCCCCTTCCTCTGATCAGTTCTAGCTGTCCTCAGATTGACTTATTAGGCATATGTTCCCCCCCCAACATAGATACATCCCCTTTATTTTTAACTCTTCACATGCTCATAGCTTGTCCTTGCAAATAGATTATCATAGTGTGGATGACAAAAACCACTTTTAATTTCTCACTGCATCTCCACACTATCTTATACAATACCTGATTCCTAATAGACCTCAATCAAGATTTCTGGCTTCATTTTGAAGATGGGCTAACTCTCTTTTTGCTCTCACCTTTCTGTTTGCACCAAGTATCGTGAGCAGATAAAAAGGAATTTGGTGTTATTCATATGGGTGTTAGAAATCAAGATTGAGTCCTAGTTCCCCAGTGATGAACATGAAAGACCTGAGAAATGCCGAGGCAAGCATACAAAACAAGTTTTATTTAAGAGAGGGACAGAGAGATTTCTCCAGAGAGAAGGGGGCCTAGAACTGGGTGCCCACAGAAGAGGATGTGTCTTGCTTTTTTACAAATCCCCCACCTTCTCTGTTTTCCTCAGCTTGTGTGCCTCTGGGCAGGAAGGAGCAGCCCTGGGGCAATTGCTTATGCTGGGAAGTGGATTCCCAATTGTTAGCAACTGGTTGAGATGGAGATGTTAGCAACCCATTTCCTTTTCTTTGATAATCAGCCCTTATCTTTCCAACCTGATTATTTACAATCTACACTGACTACCTGTCCTTCACCCCTGTCTCACTATCTTCTCTCAGATAGTCTAGCATTTCAGAGAATCTCTTCTGTCTCTTTGGAAAAGAGGGAAGCAAACATTTGCTGAGAGCTCACTATGTGCCAGGCACTGTGACAGGGGCTTACATGTACTGCTGGAAGAAATTAAGCTAACAGGCTGGATGATTTATAAAGAATAGAAATGTACTTCTCACAGTTCTCCAGACTGACAGATCCAAGATAAAGGTGCAGGCAGGTTCAGTAGTTTGGTGAGAGCTGCTTCCTCTGGAGAGGAGGACAGCTGTGTCCTCACATGGCAGAAGGCAGAAGGGCAAGTGAACCAAACACTGTGTGAAGCCTCTATTATAAGGGTCCTTGCCAAATGCCAGTGTCTCGGCTTGGCACAGAATCAGGAGGCACTCACAGCTTTGTAGGTTCAAACACCAATTCTTTATTCCCGCTCTCACACGGCCTCCACACAGGTCCAGGGGCAATCCCAATCTCCCGCACAATTCAAGTCCTAAATACTTTCTCTCCAGGAGAACTCAGCGGGAACTCAGGCAGCAGGCACGCCCTACTCCCAGCAGGAATAATCTTCAACCTCCAACTTCCCTAAAACTCCTATTGTCACGCCTTAAACCCAAGGACTGGGATATTTCCTGCAAGATACACCCTAATCCTGGATCCACCCTGGTGATTGAGCAGGGTCACCTTTCTCAAACACACAAGCAAGGTCGCAGCAAATTTCCAAGGCAAGTCCATTTAACATGGGGTACACTGGCAAGGATTATGATGCGTCATTCCTACTTGGTAATGGCTCTCAGCAGGTCCTAATTACCTTCACAAGGAAGGAGCCCTCATAGCCTAATCATCTCTTAAAGACCCCATCTCTTAATTCCATCACATGGGAAACAACTGAATTTTAGAGGGGATACATTTCAAACCACAGCACTCCCTAAAATCTTAGACCTAATTTCCCCAACATCCTCAAACAACAACAATGAACACTTCTCTGGATGGTGTCTAGCCATGAGCAGTTACAGAGAGGTGAAGGTACCAAGAAAGAGAAAGACCTGGTTAATCTTGCTGTTATTGCTATAGCTCCTTCCACAAAATAGAGTAAAAAACTGGAAATAGGACGCAGATTCATCCACACATTCTTCTGATGTCACAAGCAAAGATTTTTACCCTCAGGAAAAGAAGCCATACCAGTGGAATGCAGCCAGATGTCTTCTTTCCAGCAGTCACCCTGTTCACTCCAGAGCTGCAGCACCCCATGCTTTGGCCAGAATGACCCGGGCCTGGGGTCAGAAGCCACTGTTGTGAGGTCTAATTCCCCCCTTTTATAAGGATACTAGCCATATTGGATTATGGCCCATCTTAATGACTTCCCTTTAACTTAACTGCTTCTATAAAGTATCTCAAAGATAGCCTTTTTAACAAATGGTCCTGGAAATACTGGTTATCTGTATGTAGAAGAATGATATTAGACTTTTATCTCTCACCCTGCACATAAATCACCTCAAAATGGACCAAAGACCTAGGAGTTAGATAAGAGACTACACAAGTCTTTTCGAAGAAAGCATAGGGTCATATAGCATATGGGGCAGAGGTAACGACTTTCTCAATATGATTCCTAAAACCTAGGAAATAATGCCAAGAGCTAATAAATGGGATGG